CCTGGGTTGGTGGGGGGGAGCAGGGAATTGGCCTCTTTTCTTCCCAGAAATGTTGGTAGAGGACAATAACTTGGTGGCTGCTACAGTGGCAGGTATCAATGATGCTGGCTGCACCATCCAGCATGGTGGAAGTGATAAGGGGCTGCCCAGGAAGGTGTGGAGATAGCCAGGTTATGAAGCCAGCAGCCCTCTGTGATGCAAAGGAGAGCTCTGCACAGGTTCTTCATCTGTCCTGGGGAGGTAGTTATCCACCCACTGTTCTGAACTGCCTTGGTTCACAACCTTCTGGTCCAGAGAAGAGTACCTCATGGCATCCATACTGCCAGTTGTTACAGATCTGGTTATCACAAAAGCTATCTAACCAGTCTTGGAATAAAGCCATACCTAGCTCCTGGTTGTATTAAATTGTGAATCTTTTCTTCTCCCACACCCTTGTTTTAAACTTCTACCAGGAAAGATCTGGCAACAGACTGCCTACAGTAAACTATACAGCCTGCTGCAAGATAGTTAAGTTAAAGCATAATTAGAGGCTTTGTGTAGGCAGGAAGGTCCAGGAACATGTAAAACAAATATAATCTCTTTCCTCCCCCTGCCCTTCTACACCCCTTGGGCTTCTTTGTAGAGAGGGTGTTTTGTTAGATTGTCCAGTTATTCATTGGACCAACTGTCTTTGCTGCTTTAAGCCAGCTTTTTAGGCACACAATGCCTTTCATTAGGTTTCGGGAAACAAGCAGGTACAACCAAAAACTAAATACTAGACCAAACAATAACTTGTGTCCAGCCCCAAAGTAAAAAACAAAAACACAACCAAAAAACCCCCCAGCTGTGCTAGAGTAGAGGAGGGCTGTGAAGAAAGAACAAAGAGATGTGATCAGAAGTCACTCCACATCAAGAGCAATGTAGTTGAATAGATAATCTTATTATGCAGAAGAACAAGACTCTTGGATGGGGAAAGTTCTCTGTAGAGGACAGATGGGGTTAGGAGACTTGACAATTACACAATTGTTTCAGGACTCAACTTAAATTCGTTAAACTTCACCTCTGCTAAAGCTAAAATTTCCCTCCCTCATCCCCTGGGGGTTACAAGAAATAGCGGCCATAAGCTAGCAGAGAGCAGATTTAGACTGGACATTAGGAAGAACTTCAGAGTTCGAGTGGCCAAGGTCTGGAACGGGCTCCCAAGGGAGGTGGTGCTCTCCCCTACCCTGGGGGTCTTCAAGAGGAGGTTGGATATGCATCTAGCTGGGGTCATCTGAACCCAGCACTCTTCCTGCCTGTGCAGGGGGTCGGGCTCGATGATCTATTGAGGTCCCTTCCGACCCTAACATCTATGAATCTGTCTTCTGAAGGCATTTGTTTTTTATAGATTTCATATGAGTATGGGGACTGAGGTCAGAAATAGTGACTGTGAAAAGTGTTTTTCTCACAGGTGCTTGGCTTTACTTATCTCTACCCTGTCTCAATGTGAGTTTATTCTGAAGCCTAGTGGTTTAGCTTCACCCTCTTTATTCTTTCCACACGAGAATTTAGTGTGCTGGATGTGATATACTGCACTGTGTGACAGATGTGTGTAGGCTCTCCAGATCCTCATGGTTTTCTTTTGAGGTAGACACCCTCCCTGCCCACTAAATATAGCACATATATAAACAAACAGGCAAATGCTAGGGTTGACTTCTTCTACTGCAGACTGCCCTTGCTGTAGTGATCGTGTGCTGTCCCTGTGGTGAACACAGTCTGGAGGTACTTCTTCTGCAGCCCTTCCACTAGCTAACTGTCCCTATGAGCTCTCTCCCATCCTGTGCATCTGAGCTGTGGCAGGAGGCCTGAGTTTGCAGCTCCTGGCTGCTCCCCACTGACAGAGCAGGTCTTCTCCCTTCTAGCTGCACTTGCCACCTCTGTGCTGGGGGTGAAGGTAGCTCTTGTGGAGCAGTAGAAGCCGTGTGCTTCTGGGCTCCCTCTGGACCAGCCTCTCAACCAGCCAGCCTGCAGCAACAAGCCTACTAGCCTCCTTTGGGGAGGAGGCACAACAGGCAGAGTGCCCTGTAGGCCCTGACCCAGCTGCAGCAAGCTGTCTGACTGGGAGAGTAATATCCAAGAAGCCTTGTTGTGTACTGCTCTTCCTGATGCCCCATGTGCCCTAGATCAGCTTTGCCAAGCAAGCAGGGTTTGGACAGTGCATGACAGCTGAGAGAAGCTGCAGCAGTTGTGGCTGGGGGGGGGGCCGGGGCCG